TACATAAAACATCGACCCATCATAACTCTTCCGAGCTACCCTTCGTGATTTCGTCATCCCTTTTTATACCAAAATGGCCTTTATATGGTACAGTATAAGGACCATGTCTTTGTTCGTTGGGAATGCAAGGGTGGTTCCAGATTACGTCATGATTTAGCCCCTTTTAACAGAAAGGGATGTTGGTATGCTCTTTGTTTGATTTAAGTTTGGACGATGATAGGTATAAATAACGTTGGTAGTTAGAGTCCTCATAGGATAAACTGTACCAGGTCAGTAGAATCTACGATAGATTTTCATTAAAGAGCTAAATAAATATATTTAATATCTAAGCAGCATATGGCTTGTTAATGCTTACACTGTTGTGTTACTAATATTATAAATGCGAAAGTTTTTGGGGTTGTATGGATGTCTGGATGTTTGTTACACTTTCACGCACAAAACTACTGAATCAATTTTAATGAAACTTTACAATAATATAGCTCATACATCAGAATAACAAATAGGCTACTCTTTATCCTGGAAAAATGTACGGTTCCCGAGAATTAGCCGCTAGTAATCAATAATAAATACGATTTTAATTTCAAAGCATGAATAAATTCTTCATAAGCATTGCTTTAAATCAGTTCAATCGTACTAGTTTTAGAAAAGTGACAAGATATTATTGTAACTTACGAAAAACAAAGAAAGGTAATGAATGTTACAAATGGCGATATTTCAAAGAGATATTATGCGAACTACATACATAGATATTAGATATATTAGATATTATATTTGTATACGAAGAAAATGCCCACTATACAAATGGACAGATGTAGCAAATACAGCAGCTCATATCGCGATTACATGTAAACAAAGCAGGATCACAAAGCGCGTATAAATTAGATAGGTAGCGTAGAGCGTAGAGACCGTAAAATTTAATGACGGTAAAAGATAATTGGCCCATGGTTTGATGGCGTATTATATGTAAATGTTAACAATCTATGGAGCCGACAATGGTGTCATTTGGCAAAACGGTATATTGGATTATACAAATAGATACTGTCTATAAATATTTAATAGAGAAAGTTTGTTATCTATAATGAAATTCTAAATTCTACATGATTGACCGTTTCTTTTAAATATATACATATTTTTAACCGACGAAGGTAAATGAGGAGGTTTTTAATTCTATATGTATACTTTTTTTAACTAGCGACTTACGTTATTAGAATTGTGTAGTTAGAATATTATATAGGAAGCTAAATCTTTTTGTAAATTTTGTTAGTAATCTTTGTATTATCTATCTATTTGTGTGCTAAATTTGTTGTAAAGAAGTTACAAACATACAAACTTTCACATTTATAATAGTAATGTTATAATAAAACTTTGTTAAAAATGTAAGTTTCGTCAGTTTTAAACCAAGCATATTTAAATGCACTGAGTCGTTACAATTAAGAGAGGTCGCTCCTTTGGTCTTCCACAAGACCACCTCGGTACCTCGGGCCTCCTCCCCACACTTCAGACGGCAGACAGCTTTCAATGTGTTCATTGAAATACGTAAAGAAAAGAAAAAAAAAGCATCGTCAAAAAAGTCTTTAATAAAACTATTTTTAATTGATGGTACGTTTGGCTCAGTTTATAGTGACCCTACTTGCTGTACCATTGATCGCGGGTTCGAGTCTCGGGCATTCATTTGTATGATGCGCATGAACGTTTATACTCCAGTCATGCGTGGGTTTGTGTTTATAATATGTACGTATTTAAAGTTATATATGTATAGTATATCAACTATTTGGTATCCATAACACAAGCCTCATAGCTTACCATGGAACTAGATGGTGCTGTGTGTTAATGTCCCAACATATTTATGTACATTTATCATTTTTAATGATTTTTTAATGAATTTTGTCTAATAACCTGCTATTTCAAATGCTTTATAGCAAACTAAAATAAATATAGGTACATTAAAGAAATTATAAAGTCTTCTTTCTTTCCAGTTGTCGATATAATAATGGAGATCGTCATTTTTTGTTCTTTAAATCAATTATTCCAAAATTGTGAGATTAAATTACACGGTTTTCACATCCAATTTTCTCAACGTAAAAATTTACTCAGAGTATGTAATTTGTGCATTACGTTCATGACGATCAATGCTCCAGGCATGTATGTGCTCCTCTTAGTACGACGGAGGTCGTTGGTTCGATTCAAGCCTATAGACATTTGTAAATTATTATGACCGAAATCTTTGTATAGGTGGAAGGTAAAGAACAAAGGTAGGTAACTAAGCAGTGGAAAAAGTGTAAAAATATAATGTTACAAACATTGCATGTAATTGATGATTTAAAAAAAATATAATATGTACCGCTATCGTATATATTATATACCTTTATTATTAAAACCTTATTTAAATAACAATTACTGTTTGTAAAAAATCAAAAAGAGCTAAGTATATTAACGTTTAGAGGAAAATTAGTAGTAAAGCGTTGTGAGAGAAGTAAGCAAGCTATCAGATACCATCGAATATAATACTAGATACATAATTTTGTTTATATTCAAATGAAAGCCACCGTCTCAAGTTACACATGTTGTTCACAAAAATAAAACAAGTACAAACACTTAACCCATTTTTTGTGAAGTCGACAAAAACTCGCATAAATCTCTCCCTTCGGACCCTAATACCTGCTATCTGAAGATGCATTTCTATATCCATTCAAGTTTAAACCGTATCCAAACAACGTAAAGTTCAAAATCCTGTTTTTGGAAATTAAATTGATAGTGATCGAATGCATTTTAAACTACCCTAAATTAAATTTTAACTCTATCTTTATTTACATAAAGTAGAAATTCCAATGTATAAATACCAAAATACGTGAACGCCAATATAAACTCTATGCAGCTACATATAAAGACTATTCTTCTCTATATACATTTCTATATAGTAATAACAATACGATGCAGGGGCTTGTTGCTATGCGATATTTTCGGTCCCTTAGTTTTTTAGCCATGACGAGACCCCATAACAACCCCGCGGGACGCCGGACTCTCCCGGCAACAAAATAGCTATAATTGAAATGTCTAATGATAAATTTGTATCGCCAATTTCATAAATAGACTAACTATTGCTCTGTTGAAGGTTTAGCTCACAGTTTTCTCGTCAGTTATTTTAGCTAGATATGGTTTTAGAGTGACTTTTATCATACTCGTAATAATGGAATGTTAAATAAAACTATCTTTTCGGATTTATTTTGATTTGGTTCCCAACGTTTCGAATGCTATAAAGCATTACAAAAGTCACATATTTTTGTTTAAATTGTCAAATATTCGTGTAAATCTAAGAAAGTTTGTAATGATGGTACATTGTGTACTTGTGTTTTTATACATAATGTCGACTCACCCTCGCTTCGCTTAAATCCGTCTCTATGTACCTTACAGTAAATAGTCATGTTACTCGAGATCATTTACCTATACCAAATTCCATCTAAATCTATCCAGCCGTTTGTGTACATTATATTAATATATGTTCAGCAAACTGTAAAACTTACAATAAATAAATATTTGTTTATTACCGACACAAAATTTCTAATATGTCGATATAAATGATTATTTTATTTATTAAGCCTAGTGTTTGCCCGCAGTTTTGCTCGGAGCGGTGTTCAAAAGTTGGCAAATTTTATCAAAATCTGTTCAGCGGTTTAAGCGTGAAAACAGACAGAGTTGCTTAAACATGTATAGTATTAGTATGGTTTCATACACATTTATTCTCAAACTCTTATCAAAGTTAATTTAATTAGATGCTCTTATCATCCATCAACATTATGGCGCATCATTACAAGACAATCGTCTCGTTTATCGCGGACGAGACCGGTCCGGCCGCTTGTGATGAAACCAATATGTATATATAATATATATATACATTATACAATACACTGTATACAATTGACTTAACTCGAAGAAAAAAGGCTTTAGATCAGGTTTCCCATAAGCAACATTGTTGCCAAGGAGTTAAGTATCGAGTATCGACTGAATTATTAGACATTATCTTTAAAAAATTTAAAGACTTAGGAATATTTTTTATATGTAAGAAATCTAAGAAATCTTTTAAAGAAGTAAAGGAGTGTATAAGCTTGTTTAGTTGTGCTGCGTCTGTCTGTTTCTCCACTTACTTCGTCTAAAGCACGCATCGGATTTTATTACGGTTTTCACTAATAGAAAGAAAAAAGAATAGACGAAGAAGATTTTTGTACATAAATTGTAAATATTTTGTACAAAATGGCAGAGCTATGACGGTGTTTTTTCAAAAAAAAGTTTCGTAAGATTATCTTTATTTCGTATGATTATCGCTATCACTATGGCTAAACCTTTAAAGATGCATCAAAACAATGTAGAAAATTGTAGGTCTTAAGGTTCGAGATAGCAGGTGTCCATCTCCTTTTTTTTTAATGTTGGGAAATGCGTTTACGCATACCACCTGTAGACATACCTACAGGTATAATATGGGACTCATCGGCTAGAAAAGCCAGTACCCACTCAAACCCAACAAAACCATTTTTATTTCAGTCTGAATAAACGTTCCAAAGCAGATATTATATTAGTTAAGTTTTACTTTACGAAAAAAAGATATAAAACACCTTAATTTTTTCATATTTTTACCTTCTTCTTTAACCGATTACAACTTATTAACTTGAAACTTACATTGAAAAATATTTCAAAGTCAGTGCTTTCATTACGCCAAGATATAAATAAATATTATTTTAATATTACTCTCTAAATTTAAAGAAATAGTTTTAGCGCTTGCGGCTTCAAGCAACTGAGTGGCCCCTGCGCGGTGCGAGGGACGCGTCCCGCCCATCATCCAACTCAGTGCCGCTCATGTATTACTGAATGATGGACCTATGTTCTTATTCCAACGCGTGCACTTGTTCCGTCTTACCAATCATATTTCGTGAACCTACAGAAGACCTACCTACCAGTCTTACAGCATTACATCATGCCAAGAAAAAAACGACAATATATTCGTGATAATGCTGCCAAAATGCAAAAGAAAAGGTAAGTGATGTTTAGAAGTATAATTGTAATAGCCATATACCTACCTATTTTCTTAAACTATTGTAAGTCGTTTCCTATATGGCTGTTTGGATTTATTGCCTATTATTATTAAAAAAAATTATCTGTTAGTACCTACCATAGTATCTTATCTGTGACTAGGCACTAGGTACCTTCAATTACGTACAAACTTATAGTAGTGATATTTTGTTACAGACTGCAAAAAATACCAAAGGATTAAATTGCCAGTACTTCTAAAAACGCAAACGAACCAGCCGGACGAACTGATTTGATGACCTTATAAACTGTAGAATTGTGAGTTTATCTAACAATCCATACCTACTAACATATAGCTATATACATATATATACTATACCTACCAATTTATAAAGCAGAAGAGTTTGCTTGTTTGAACGCGCTTATCTGAGGAACTACGTACCCGTCGGATATGAAAAATTATTTCTGCATTGGATAGCTGAACTTTTGAGACAGGCTACTTTTCATCATCATCGTCATCACCATATATCTATCGTAATTACTGGACAACGCCGCGAGGGCGCTGTACCTAATTATGTTCCTATTATAATGACAGTTAAAAGTAGAGTACTAGGGGGAGATTGGGTAGCATTGGATCAGTTTTTTTTCTAAGCTCTGTGGTTGTAACGTTTATGGCTAACAACAAGCGTAAGTACAACGAGATACAAACAAGTATTTACATAATAAATATTCACTGACAGATAAAAAAATTGTAAAGCGGTACTTCCCGCTTCGATACCCGTTGACGACTAGTGCAGAGAAGAGAGGGGTATTTATGAGTAAGCAGCATCCATGGGTTTTTTGTACGTAACACATATTGAGTTATAGTAAGCAATAAACTGTAACCCAATATCTTCTAAGCAGTGTTTAAAAAACGGTCTTATATTTATAAGAATTTCGTAGTATGAACAAAAGAGCAAAGAACCAGCATGCATTCAGAAAACCACACAGTTTACAACAATACTTGATGACAAGAATGAAATACAAGCTGCAAACAGTTTTGAAAGAACAGATCATGAAGTCACAGAGCAGAATCTGTTGATACAAAAAAGAAAAGAACAGAGAGATGTTGATTGTTGTAGTTCAAACAACTTTCCCAAAATATCAATTCAAACATTCGGTGAAGTAAGCGATGATTATGATGATAATGAAAAAAATCCAGAAAAAGAAGAAAAGTATTGCATGAAGGGCAACTAAATTAAGACGAATTTTGACTAGTTTAAAGAAATTAAATTGTAAATAAAAAAAATGCTTATAAATTCACAAAAAACGTTTCATTTTAATTAATCGAGCGAGTGTCCCATTCCCTAGTCCCAAAAAATCTACAACGAATACAGAGAGAGTAAGCGTAATACAGAGTTATAGAGAGTAATCCACAGTACTAGTGATGCACTTTTACACAATCTCTCTCACCTACCTAAACATTGCCGATAATTATCTTCTGACACGTAACTCGCGTTTTCAGAATAAATATAGCTATGTACCTAGTACAAACTAAAATTTATTTACAGTTGACCTCGTAGGTACCAAAACCAAAAAAGTGTCTATCTACGGTACTACCTAAGGTAAGCTCACAATAACTATTTTTACCTATATAAAACGTACTTAGGGGCGCACCCGATCAAAATGAGGCTAGTATCCTATACATTATATCAGGTCATACTCTTTCTTATTAAATGTGTACTTAATTTGATCCAAATTCGTCCTAGAGTTTGAGCGTGAAGTTATCGCAAACATACACACATAGACACAAACTTTGGCATCAACAGTAGTCCTATTAATATTATAAATGCGAAAGTTTGTGAGAATGGATGGATGTTTGTTACTCTTCCACGCAAAAAATACAGAACGGATTTTGACCAAACTTTACAGTAATATAGCTTATACAACAGAGTAACATATAAGCTATAATTTTTAAAGAATTGTAAGCCGCGGCAAAACGCTAGTAGTTCGATATAAGTAAACTAATGAATTAATGATACGACAGCATCACTAAGTAGGTTATCTTAAATTGTCTATGAAGAATTAATTATATTTTCTGTACATCTGTTCATTTGTCCCATAGACTTAGAGCGAGTCGGATCCAGTTCGGACTAGTCGAAACAACTTCTAACGGTTCGTCTTATATACGAATATATATTACTCGTCACGTATAGAGCTACTCGTATATCTAAACATTTACTCATGAATAAATATTTGAATATAAATATAGGAAAAAACGGTGTTTAAATATTTTCGTTTTCCAATAAACTATTCTATAGAAATGATCCCGTTCATGGTGAAATTAGGTTATATGTGTTTTATGCCTCATCTTGTTATATATTATCTTTTATGTCATAGTCTAAGTACCAAATATCCAAATCAGTCCATCCGTAGCAGCGTAAAAGCGTAACAAATATACACAAACGTATAAACTATAGTATTCACGATAGTAATCAGATTATAATAAGTACACGTTCTTTGTGAAAAATTTCAATAATTTTGTTTTTCTCTACATATCTTATCAATTTGTACGCAAGCTCTGCATTGGCGGTGCATCGCGACGACCGATTGCTTATCGAGCACTGAGACCGGCTCGGACCGGCCACGACCGGTTACGTTAAGTGGATTATCAATAATTTTAGTTTATTGTACATTTATATTTATAAGTAAATCAATTTTTATGATAAGAACGTATAATAAGATAACAATTTGCGTGGAGAGTTGGAATCTTGTAAACAGGTATTACATGACATAGTAATTACCGTTTAGTAGATATTTTGTTGAGAAGCAGCTCCAAACCCCAATGTCACTACATTGGTACTGTGTTACAAACGTGCGCCTCAAAAAACTTATGAAGCAGGTCTTGCCCCTGATCTTTCTTCAGACCTATCATCCTATTTGACTATTAGAGTGTTGTATAGTGTGCAATAATTACCCGTTAAAACACTTTTTAAACATATGGTCTCTCCCGAGACCATGACGTATAAAGCTTTCGAAACGTCGGGACCCAAAAAACAAAACAAATCCATGGAAAATTAGAAAAGATAGTTTCATATAGTTTTAATATTTAGTAAATCTAAAGTATTACCGTTAAAATTCTGTTAATACACGAATGACTCTCAACCATCATTTCTTAGATAATTCATTAAAATAAAAACTTTTTAACAAAAAAATAAAAACCCTTCAAACAACTTTTTAACAAAAAATAAAAAGCCATTCAATAAAAAACCGACTTCAAACAAAAGCACTAAAAAGTAAAAAATAACTGATTGGTAGTTTTCATTTACTATACATACCTAATCAAATATTTTCGAAGTCGGTGTGCTTTGCTTTGTATGGGCTGGCACCGATTTCGAAAATATTTGATTAGGTATGTATTTAATAGGTAGGCTTTAAAAAAGTTTTTGAAGTCGGTTTTTATTTTTTGTTAAAAAGTTTTTATTTTGCCCTTTTTAGTGTAGACAGTAGTAGCAAAGTAAGAATTCTAACGTGTTAGGCTTGTCAAATCAAACAAAACAAGCCCAAACTCAAGTATCTACTATTAGCCGTTGAAGAGTTCCACCTATCCACCTTCTTGGCCTTACCATCAGATCAGGTCAACAATATCGAACCACTGTACTATCAATGGAAATAGAAACACTTGCAAAGTTTCAAGTCAATATGACAATTAGAAGTAGGTTAAATTCATTATTAGCTATTTTTCCACCCTTAGGGGTAGTATTTTTTTTTTGAAATTTAAATGGGACCAATCTGGAAGTATACACTTTCAAACAACACAAAAATTGTCCAAATCGGTTAATAAATGACGGATTTCTGAGGTAACAAACATAAAAAAAAAAAAAAAAAAAACAAAAAAAAAATACAGTCGAATTGAGAACCTCCTCCTTTTTGAAGTCGGTTGAAAATTTAAATGGGATCAATTTGGAAGTATACACTTTCAAACAAAATAAAAATTGTCCAAATCGGTTAATATATGACAGAGTTCTGAGGTAACAAACATAAAAAAAATACAGCCGAATTCAGAACCTCCACCTTTTTGAGGAAGTCGGTTGAAAAACTGTAATAAATCAACTCAATACCATAAATAAAGTAAAACGTAACGACAGGTATCTAAAGAATCTTAGTAACTATGCAACAAACAGTATTACATTACAAGTATGTATATTTCCATTTACATCTTAGTTACGAGAGACTTAGATATAACCTTAGAGCCACTTCCTAAAACCTAGGAAGCTAAAGTCTAGTCTAGACGGAAGCCACTGACTACCGCTTTTTTAAGACGCTAATTTGTTATATATTTATATTATTTTACATTACAATTTTATATTGTATCCGTGATATTCGTGATTTTAAATTAAATAGAAAAAATAACTTCAAAGTGCTATCTTATTAACAAATAATTTAATCTGATTATAAAAAAATAAGTATATAAATATGAAGTACGAGTTTAGGAGATATCTAATACAGTGACAGACGGCTTATTACACCAGAAGTCCCCAGTTCGATTCCTTTACGAGGCATTTCCATCTAGGACGCGGTTTATAGTACCCTTGCTTTAGATTGCAATGGTTACCGTAAATAGGCGTAGTACCTATTATTTTTAACACGAAAATGAACAGACTGACGCGGTTTTCTACAAAATATAATTATAAAACCTTTCACAATGGAAAGTGTGGATAATTGCAATCGCTAGCATTGTGTTTACCCCCCGCGAATATCCCCATAAACTGACAACCATGTGACGTGCGAGTGACAAGCTATCCGACCCATCTGAATGTTTGCTGTGAAATGAAATATGTATGTTATATATTTTTGTACTTTTAATTATCACATCGGCTAGAATAGGTGCCTTTTGAGGCGTATTATTAGCTCGCGACATCTAGACATATATGTACATATGTATATATATAAATATATATACCTACTTGAGCTAAAAAGGCGTTGATATACTGTAAAAACAAATGACTTCAAAAAAAATCCTACAAAGTATAAAACAAGTGATTGATAGTTTTCATTTACTGTGGATACCTAGTGAGATATTTTCGAAGTCGGTGTGCTTTGATTTGTATCGGCTGGCACCAACTCTTCGGCGTCACAACTCACAAGTCGACGCCATGTTTTGAAAAGATATTTGTTAGGAAATGTGGGAAATGTTTTTATTTAACAATGAAAAAGTATAAAATTTTATTACATTCGTTCACTTTTAAAAAATATAAATAACAAACAAACAAACATAAACTATCGCACTATATGAAAATATTCTTAAAACATATTACAGCTACTTTACATAGATATAGTAATAATAACAATTTGCTGTTTTGATAAGAATCAACTAGTACAGCGGGTACTGACGGACGTCCGGACGTAGTTGCTGTACAGCGAAGAGGAGGAGCACTGTGGTATTAAACGATGTTGAATTTTGATGAATCTGGAACATACCCGTAGTGCGTAACGGACACACAATTTGGTATAAAATATATGGGCATCGGCCGTTTCCTGATTATACACGAATAGAAAAATTAAAATACGTTTTATTTGTAGTTTTACATCATGTCTCAACTTTTGACGTCTTAACACTGTAACGATGTAGATTATTAACGAGATATAGAAAATATAACGTATGTTTTAATAAATACTTACATACTAATTAATGTTAATTAATAATTATACAATTTTAATTTGTTATCTCGTAGCTCTTTATACAATAATGGACACGGGTGGAGACTTTACAAAAATCATACTTAAAAAACTATAGAAACCGCTCCCATCAAGCACGCTCTCTCCATCATCAGAACACCACTACTGACTTTAATTAGTGTATTGAACTCGTCATATTAAAAAAAACATGTAAATTGTACAAGCCTCTTTCTTCCAGATATATCCGATCAGCTCAGCGGTACATTGCACAATCATTCTAGTTACCTTTTAAATGAGCAATTCTTATATGTATATTTCATTTTATGTATCTCGGAAACTGCTCTAACATGTAAAGGTTTATTTTCTAGAAACCCCATTTTTATACCTTTTCCGAAATCTAGAAATACTACATAAAAGAGTGGGTTTATATAACTTTTAAGATTTGTTACATGCAATGCTAATAAGCGCTAACAAAAATTTTATTTTTACATAGGTAGGTACATAAATAAATGGACTAAACGAACAACTACAGGTAAAAAACAACTTTATTCAAATAAAAGCAAACTAAAGTTTTGATAAAACATTAACATATTTGCATTATGTTGCAGTATGTTGGTAACATCTTCACTCTTAAATGCCTGAACGGTTTTGGATGATAATTTAGTACACAGATAGACAATGGCGTGGAGTAACACATAGGTTACTGTTAATAATAAAATTTGTTACAAAGTAGCGATGTCTGTACAAAATAATTTAATAATTCGGACTTATAACAAAGAAAGAACGTCTTGAAGAAAGTTAAAAGAAACAGCCCGTAAAAGGTAACTGCGTATGTGAATCCCGAAGCCAACAAAGCGTAAGGCGGAACCATTAATTCTTTTGTCCAAAAGTTTCACGAAAATCGTTCAGTGTATTCTTTGATTTTTATATATGACACGGCCCGAGCCACTTTTCATGGAGTTAACGACTGGCCCAAGTTATAGGAGTTGGACAAATGACATTATAAATTTTTAGTTTTTTTTTTATTTTTGTTCCTGACGTTTCGAAAGCTTTATGCAAATATGGTTACAGAAGAATCTTTTCTTTGGAAGAAAAAAATAATGGCACTAAAGTACTTTACAATTAAAAAAAACCGAACGAACGTTGTGTGATAAATATTTTTTTAAAGATAGTTTGTAGAATAAACAGCGTCTACAATGGGGCATGAACAGTGGATATTGGTCTTACTGATACGACTACTCTGAAAAAAAAATTGAACCTCAACTTAGATAAGGACAGATAGAAGTTGCTGTCTCAATAATATTACAAATATCAAAACTTATGAAGAGTATGTTTGTTTGTCACTAAATAACTAATTATTAAATTTGACATAGAACATACATACATTGATATATAATTTCCCACACACGCTAGCGTCTACGATTTCCAACCGAGGGTAATTTTCGGCTTACCACAGCCAGTTTAACTTACGTATTTTATAGCTGCAGAAGCATTGTGCGTGCCCTATTATTACCAAACAGTGGGGTAGACCGTAGAGCCGACGTATTACGAGCGCGATTACAGAAAACTTGTATCGCGCTGGATTATATAACTTATTGCGGAGGGTCCACTCTGTATGTAATTATGTTACAAAAGGTACAATCTTACGTCGTTTTAGTGGAACAGTTTTCATGAAATCTGTTCATTGATAATTTTAATACTTTGTATTCTTCATTTTTTGATCCTACTCTATCGATTCTCCGCTTCCCACTATAAATATAATGATCTTAAATTATTTTATACGTATATCTGAGTATAATTGCCCGCATCTCGGTCTGCAAAGTTTCAAAATAACAGATTTTCATTCAATACGCACACTTTCAATTTTCTTTATCAAGCCCTAAAGCCTTAAATTTCTAAAAAATCTTTTCTCACATTATGATACTTCCTATACGGAATCTATCTACACTTTATAGCGTTTATATTTTCTGAAATTTCGTAATTAGTCAGTCGTTTTTTGCTTTTATCACTATCTTCATTATTCCAGATAAATAATGTCTACGTGCTTTACCAAAAGCATGTAATAATCCATACTATAATATAATAAATGTGCAAGTGTGTTTAAAAAAAAAAAAAATAATACCTTTATTGACGTAAATACAAAAGGGTTACAAGACATTTTTTTAACTATATAATTAGCATAATGTTTGTTTAGGTGTCTATTCTATTATGTCTATTAGGTGGTCTAACGTCTGAACTAGGCCGAGCCTGTATCGCAGATGCTAGCCTCTTCCTATTACACAACTTATTTATTGCTAATAAATTAAATGTAACATAATACTAAAAATATATATGTTATACAATGTGAACAATTTCGAGATACATTAGCGTAGGTACTTGTTCAATTTACTAAAAACATCTACCGTCATTGTGTCATTTTTATGTTATGATTAAGGTTAGACCACTAAAGCTATGAATTTATGCATTAAGAAATTTTTTTTTGTTAAAACTTTTTCTATAGATTTTTTTTTCAATATGATTAATATATTTTGAACCAATTTTATATTATTTGTAGATGTTCAATAGGTATAATTTATATCATTTATAGTTGTTTATTTGGAAATATTTAGGTATATTTTACATTACTTAGTAACTTATAGTTGTTTATGTGTACATATTTAGGCATATTTTTTTTTGTTTGTTTGGAATACTGGAATACTCACAAAATGTATAAATTCGCATAAATATGATGAAAAATCCTTCTTGCTTCGTGGACATTTCTTTATGATTGAATGTTAAACAAATACCAAAGCCTTTTTTACAAACACCGGGAAGAAAATCAAATGCTGTGTTTTGGTAAACTCAAAGTTATACTTACAAATACATATATTATTATGTATAATATAATTGGCAAAAATTTTCATTTGTTACTTGTCTTTCGCTCACACAACTACTTTTACCCGATTTGTTAGTATAAAATCCCATTGAATATTAGTCTTTAAAAACTTTACTTAGAGCTTCTCGTAACATTGTTACACTAATATTATAAATGAGAAGTGTGTGTGTGTGTTTGTCACTTCTTTACGTTAAAGCTTGGCGATTTGGATGAAAAAATTTAGGCAATTTAGTACACAGCTGTATAATCTGGACAAACTCATAGTGTAAGGTTGCATTTTTATATATGAGTGTTTTATTAAGAAAGCAAAACGCTCGTATAATTCTCTTGATATTAAAATAAAATGTTTAAATTATTTAAATTCACAATATCTTAACTATTATAAATTATTTACTGATGCATCTTTGGATAACAATGAAACGAGAATTGCTTTTTATGATCCCCAAACAGAAACTAATATGAGATTTAAAAATAATTACAAAATTTCAATAATGTACGCAGAACTTATTGCTCTGGCTGAAGTATTGTCTTATATTGAGACAATTAATTTTAATAAATTTATTATTCTCACTGATTCAAAAAGTTCATTACAACACTTGGCTCGTTGCACCTCGACTTTTCGAGGAACACCGATAGCCAATACTATCATTGAATTGATTCTTAAAATGAAGTCCTTGGAAAAATCAATTGTTTTGCAGTGGATTCCGTCTCATATTGGAATTATTGGGAACGAGAAGGTCGATCAGTTTGCCAGACAGGCCTGCACTGATGGAGATATAATTCATGTTACCTTTCTATACAGACTGTCTTTATTTGATAAAAGAAAAATGTTTAGATGCTTGGAAAGAGTATTTTGACTTGAGGTCTAAAGAAAAAGGCATATGGTACAAAACGATTCAACCACAACCTTGTTACTATTCTTGGGTAGATATGTGTAATTTCAAACGTGAAGATATTGTGATGGCTTTGAGACTGCGTTCCGGACACATTCCATTAAATAAGTTTGGGTATTTAATGAAGAAAGTTCTGTCTCCTAATTGTCCCGATTGCGGAGTTATAGAGGATGTGTACCATATTTTAATGGAATGTGCTCGAAGCGAACCCCTTTTATCACAATTAGCAGATAGATCAATTGGAATATGTAATATATATCTCGCAAATCCTACTTCAGAGTTAGCCAAAATTATGTATAATATAGGTAAACATAACATAAGTAAGCGAAACTAAATAATATTATAACTAATGTATAGATAAGAATATTTGTGTAACCTACCAGAGCAACATAGTCGCCCAAGTGACTCAGCTCTATAAGGCGCTCTTTTCCAGAATTTAGGATATTTTGAACCATTATAAAACCACGAATATAATACATATAGTTCTAAAATTCATACATGTTATAGTTAAGGATAATAGCTAAGTACCCGGAGAGGCCAAAACACGATTGGCAATAGTTTACACGATAGAAAAAAAATTCAAAGATAGGTCTAAAAAATACCTTAAAATCTCTGATACACACAAAATACATTATTATATGATATGAAAGTTATACTCATAGATTTAGCTTGTCATTATCTAGGTATTCGGAGAAACAGATTTTCATTTATTAACTTATATTTATGGCAATAGGCGAAAAACAGATAAAATGAAACGGGTCGTCGCGCGCTGGCGCCGCTCCCTAATAATTCAGTGCCCGCCCAGACGTTCACGAGTACGCATACGTCGCTCTGTGCCAGCTCCGCTTCCGAACACAGTGGCTTGGTTGTGTTTCGAATACATCTACTATTTAATATATATTAATTATAGCGTAGACATAAGTGTTAATTAAATTAAGTTGTAAATATTAGTTGTAAGTTATTTTGTAAATTTATACTTATTTATTGTTGTCTTGTATACTTATTGTAAGAAATCACTATGGGAAATAAAAGAAGAAGAAAATTAAAACCAAAAGATTATAAAAAAATGCTTCAAGAGAAATGGTAAGTATATCAATCAATAATCTATAATACTCGCGTATCTAATATTTAAGTAATTATGAAGTGGTTAATTGGATCATTGCTCATAGAAATTAATAGTGTCACTAATTTCAAAGTCGGTTTTCGGAATATGTTTCATGATTTTGAAATCTGAATTATAATAAAGTTAGGTAGGTACTTTTTCTTAAAGAAATTAGACCTGCTTACATACCTACATTTTATATTGGCTATTTGGACCATAGCATAAAAACGAGCAGTGTGTTTGAACGCCACATACCTATTCAGACACAATAGAAATCAATTGTTTTGAACCCGCCACGGGTTGGTTGTTGGTCGTTGGCACCTAATAATAAGGTTTAATAAACCAATTCTGAGGTAAAGAATAAAGCTTAAATTAGCTTAGCTAAGCTAATTTAAGCTTTATTAGCTTAAAAACAAATTAGCTTAGTCATGAAAATGTAAAGTTACTACAAAGACGTCAAGTAACCATAGCATAAAAAGGAGCAGTATGGCTAATAGTCGACTTATTTAGAAAGTGCCACTTTATTAAAACTAATTCATGAAAAATGTTTATTATAATATGATATTTCAGTGCTGCTATGTGCAAGAAAAAAAATGCTGGTAATAGCATCACAGACGAAAACTCTGAACCTAATTACGAAAGTCCAAGGTAAGTAATTGCACGAAGACATATAAGGTTATATATTTAATACAACAAGTACACCATTATCGATGAAAATAAAATACATAATTTCATATATTAATTATAGGTTATAGGTACGTTTTTACTATGTGATATCAAACGATCAGTCGAATTGGATAAGATTTTTCCTTAACTTATTATTTTAGGATTACAATCATAATAGGAGTTTTTTGCTTTTAGTAGGATCGCAAATTGTAATTCTTTGTTTTAATTTCATGATAAAATGGCGACTTAATTTTGGTGATATTTTACTAATTTTGGCTATATAAAGTGATTTTTTGCCATTATATTTTCCGATATCTGGTGGTTAGATAGACATAAGCCATAATCATTCATTTGTAATGATTTATCGGAACTGCTTTCCGAGCCGGTGGTAGTTTCCACACGGACAGACGTACTAACGATTATAAAAGTACTGAATATAAAAATATATGCAAGGAATATCTCGAAGTTTTATTAGTGACCACCTACAGTAGTATATTGTTAAGCACCCATGAACGCAACTGAGCGGTACCTAAGTCTTTATATTATAATGGTATCGAAACATACACAAACATAATCTTTACAAACATACCATTAAATATATACTTGGCCCAAAATATCGCTTTTTCTAAGATAGAAAGAAAAAACGATATATAGTGGGGTAAGTTTCAGGAAACGTATTAATAAAGCATCACGGTGTAGCGCCGAGCCGACGCCTACTCACTTACGGTACACAAACATGTTATAGGTACGCTACATCGGCTTTCAACGGTCAGTTATGTACGTGCTTGTTTGTGCAGATGATATCATCATAGCACGCTGCTTTACTTCGAAGGATAAGCTGTAAAGCCTAGTTCGCATTAAGCTAGTATTTTAGTCTAGTAGCGAGTAATTTAGTAACTAAACGTGTCTGAACACTAAAAATTTAGTCGATTAGTTTAGTAAGTAATTTAGTCGAGTCAATCCATTTTATTCTATTTTTTTGGGCGAGTAGCAGCCCCCACCATGCGTCCGAGCTCACTGGTTCACCGGCTAAACAAGTACGAACCTGTCGAATTAGTCGAGTTCATTAGTTGCCGCCATAATGTCGTTTCGCTGGAGCGATGAAATGACTTTTAAATTTGTTTCGAAATATGTTGAACACGAATGCTTTTGGAATATTAGGTCCTTGCATTATAAAAACAAACATATGAAACATTCCGCATACTTAGATTTGGAAAAAATAATATACCCGGATTTCGCGAAAAAGAAATTAAAATGAAAATTAAAAACATCAGGTTACTTTTCATCCACCTCTTTTAAAATAGCCGTTACGATCAGCTTAATCAGTTTATTTACTTTATTGCGTTGTAGGCTGTTTATCTTGCAAAACACCACTCACTTGTAAACTGTACTCGACCAAAGTGCGAACGATTTTTGGTGAGTAGCGAGTAATTTAGCTACTAAATTACTCGCTACTAGACTAAAATACTAGCTTAATGCGAACTAGGCTTAACAGTGTTTTATGACTACTGTTTTATTCTAAACTAGCATCTCCCGCGGCTCCGCCCGCGTTCATATGACCAAAAACCAAATTCTTAGGTTTACATTTTAGTATACTCTTAAAATGCAGTTTTTGTATTTTTCTCAGAAATGTGATATTTTCCCCGCGGTAAAAAGTATCCTATATGTTGGACCCGGATAACCAGCTATCATCATACCAAATTTCATCAAAATCTGTCCAGTGGTTTTCTCGTGATGCAGTAACAGACAGACAGACAGACAAACAAAATTTCTAAAAAGTATAGATTCGGACTCTGTATCGATAATAATGTCTATTTCAATAAGATCCAAAAAATATTTAATGTACAGATTCGACTTAGTTACAATTTTATTATATGTATAGACTAACTATCTACCCTTGCTTCGCTCGGGAGTTTCCCTTGAAATATTTAAGAACGTATTAAAAGCAAACTTCCAAAGAACAATTCCTTTTTACGCCAGGAACCTTCGCAGCCGTATACAGTTTCACCCAGCAGAACTTCATCACAATCTGATCAATTGTATACGATTATTTTATATATTAATATAAAACGAACATTCATTTTTAGTTAAATAGAAGAAGAAGACAGATAAAAAAATTATTCACTTAACATAATAAATGTTAGGATCCTTTTTTAAGGTTAGATTAGTCTTTTTCATATTTTTAAAGTATTTTACAAGTAGATTATATATATATATATATATATATATATATATATATATATATATATATATATATATATAGTACTCATTTATTTAAATATTCATTATCTAATTTGTAACTTGCTCTCGTATTTTTAGAATATTAATTTGGATGTTCTTAAAAAAAATAATAGGTAGATACTACGAACTTTTATAACATTTACGTAATATATTTTACAACCTTTTCTTATTCTAATCTTAGGTACAAAACCCAAAGAATAATTTAAATATCAAATACCTTCCTTTGACAATTAAATAAACCCATTTTAAATGAATCTCCAAAACTACATGTAACGATTCGTACAAAAATACAAATTGGCTTTATTAGATAGAATGACCCTCTTTACTTGTGGTTTTATATAATTGCCGTACAGTGGTCAAAGCGAGTGGATTCAAATGCGAACTAAAGTACACTAATTCCGCCCCTCGTGGGACTCGCGAGGGCTACTAACATGAGTTATTGAGGACAGAGGACGGAGGGCGGGACGAGGGATAGGTGGGGGACGCTCATTAAAACTGTGCCCCAAAAATCCCTAATACAAATATAAATGTAATAAAGGAAGGGTAAAGGACATATTTTTCATATAAACTGGACGTAACATTCAAACTTGTCTTGTTGCTAAAACTATAGATACTGTGTGCACCTCTTTGTTTATTTTGAAAACGAATTTGGTCCATAGACAGACAGACAGTATTCGAACTTCTCGATTTTTTCAAACCACTCCAAAGGGATCGAGTAAAATTTGATAAAAAAAGTAGAGCTTCCACGATCACATTCCTCGTGGACCTCGTAAAAAATAATATGCGGAAATTTAGGGTACTTTTTTCATGCGGTTTTTTTTTAAACTTCTATGAGGGCCGTCCTAGATTAATGTTTTGAAATAAAAGATTCGATTGTGGCCGGCTGGAGGCCCCTTGAATCAGGGGCCCCATGTGACCTCATTAGTTGCATTGGCATACCTAAGCCACTGCTTGTACAGAGAAAGAAGAATATTAAATTACCATTCATTCTGTATTGTCACAAGCACTAGATATGGCCATAGTTTATATGGAGGGAGACCATTAGGTAAGATGAAGAGCTGAAGTTTATCTTTGAATCTATTCGATTGAATAAAATATGTAAAATGTATTTTTGGTAAAACTATTATCTATACAATAAATGCTGCGAGTATAACACAGACTGACGAACAACACGTAAATGTCTTTAAAAACATTTGTGTTTTCCAAATATACAATTAAAATTAAATAAAAATAAAATTTTAATGCACTTTTTTGTACGTCTAGTAATAACGACTAATTTTTTAACGACATCATAAAAGAACGATAAATATACACGATAGCGAAATAAAAACTAAAAACATGCACCCAACTTGAATACCTCCTTCTTTGGGTTCGATCAAAAACTAATAGATTATTAATCAGTATAATTAAACCTTTGGAGACACCCATTAAACTAATCGCTTTAGAACCTTTAAGTCGTTTGTAATCGAGCACCAGATCTAATCGTAATCCCGCCAATCCCTTGGGATCCGCATCCGCGACTGACGCCGGGATGACATCCCACGAGCCGCTAATGCTCCTCTAAGTAATGAGAGTCATTCATTCAAAGGGATTTCATGTGTATGGCTTAGAAAGTAATATGCTGTTAATGTATTTTAACTTACGTATATAGAGAGGTAGGTGTGGATTTGATTCCTACAAAAGGTGCACATTATAAGTGATATACATAAATGGTATATAATATAAAAATTGAAGTAGCACTTGAAATATATTTTTTTTAATACAGTTTGACTGTACATATATAATTTTCTTACATTTTCATAGTTGACGCTAATATTAAAAAATACAAATATTTAGTGAGCCGAAACTACATCTCTCACAAGCAAGTATACATAACAAGTACTCCACCTGTCAGAAATAAGTGTCTACAGCAGACCAGGGAGGGTGTAAAACCAATTGTTATTCAGTTTTTACATTGCAAATGCGAATGTCTGTTTCCACGGTGCTATCTCACATCCGCTAGAGTAATGAATATTATCTTTTACATACAATTTACTTTTTTTAGTTTAATTCTGACGTTCAACTTTGGAATTGCCAGTAATTTTTTATTCGATAAGAAAATTTCACTTTTGAGTAAAGAAAAAATTGAATTCTATTCCAAAAAGTCTGTATTTATACCAATACATGAGGTCGATATTATTTATTCGAATATTATTTAAATAAATTACAATATATTCAATAAGAAGTTAACTAATATACGCTGAGTATCTCAGTAACTATGGTAGGACAGAGTGGTTTACTTTACCCTAATAAAAATTCGAAAAACAAATTGCCAGTGACGGTTATGCGTTAAAATCGTAACAAAACTTTAAAAAATGATAATAATATGTAAAATTTTCCTATGTAATGGAAATATTTAAATAATCTGACGTAAATCCTGTATTTGACAACGATAAGTTCGATCTTTATCTGCTTTATCTATTATATCGATACAATAACGCAAACAAGATATATTATGTGAAAATATAGGGTCTAGTTTTTTTTTGCTTCTGTACGAATTCGTATTTCAGTGACTTTATATCCATTTACTGGTTTTGATCCGCAGAAATTCGCCTCTCATATATATTTACTATGATACTGTGTCCATTAGTGACGAGTAACATAACATAATTATTACCCGGCTTCGGAGATCACAACGATATACAGCACGTTTGACCTGTGTGTATGTATGTTTAATATTTATATCTGAACTTATATTTCCTCATAATTACTAAATTGTTTAACAGATTATTATGTTTCTCGTCATCAGGTTCGTCTTGATAAGAAGAATGTCATAGGTTATATAGATTATTCCTTAAAATCAAACTGGTGGATTTAAAGTACCAATTGTATATCTCAAAAATATTTTATGTGAATTGTGAAACATCTAATGCGGTAGGTCAAACTGACTGTTGGCGTGGCGACGCGTCGCCATATTGGCGTCGGTCGCCACGTTCACTCGGCTCGGTGATCCCCCTCTCTTTCACCGCCTTGAACTCGTTAGTCGTTACCTATAGCGTGTGCTGTGTGTTGCTCACTTCTGAACACGTTGCCTGTTTCCTTTAAACCTAATAATAAAGTATGAGTAACAGTAATAGTTTAGAATATAAAAGTGATCTGCCTTTTACAAAGAAAGTAAAATCACACGATGGCACAAAAGCAACTGATTTAATACAAGAGTAAGTTAATATTTTTTTATAATTAAAATGTGTATTTATGTGTGCACATGAGTTTTGTGTGTTTCAAGCATCGGTAAATGTGAAATCTTTCTTACCAAACTTGATATTACTCAAATACTGGACATTTATAAAGTTATAAGTATAAGCAATCGGGGGAGCCCGTCAGGAACGAAGATCCTCACGCCTTTTCTTGTATTCCGAATGTAATTTGATATAAAATGTCTATTGGCACACTCCACGCATATAACCTTTTAACATGAAAACCCTAAATAGACACACGGATAAATTAAATGTATATATATAAATAGTTAATAATTAACACTTAAATAATATTAAACGTATGGAAACAATAAATACTTGTATCCAAATATAAAATTTTATTAACTTTTTAAAGTTTCTTTTTCACATTTTCAATTTCCATTGTTTTAATCTCATACGAAATTGCAATAATCAATAATGCAAAAATGTAATTCACTTTTAATACAATTGTTAATTATTGAAAAACAATTTTATTTAACGGGAGTGTACCATACAGCACATTTAACTAACACGTGATGTAAACAAGTATGGCGGCCAGAGCTTGACGATAACGTCCGAGCTAAGCCGAACGGATCCGAACTTCTTGTAACGCTTTTTTGTTACATGATATATAACTGTCAACTTCCATCTGATTAAATTAGTTAATTAATTAATAACTGAGATTTATAAAAAAAATCAGAAAAAGATAGATAATTTTCATTTTTCACTGACAATTTTATATTTTTAGAGTAAATAATAAAAGAAAAGAACGTCAGCAAAGATACAGGGAGCAGAACAGAGAAAAACTGAAACAGCGTGAAGCGGAAAGAAGAAAACGTAAACAAAATTTACAAATGATTGCAGGACCATCTACCTCGTCAAACATTCTAAATAGAATGGAATTAAATAATGAAGAAATAACAGATGCTGATGAAAGTTTATCTGGTTTGGAAGGAATACAAACACCATCTGTTCATAAAAATAAGTTGTACATATTTCATATAACATCATACAAAGAATGTATTTTTTAATTCTTAACTCGTTTGTTTACAATAATATAATTTTAGCGCTGAAGACAAGGATGCTGTTCAAAAAAAAAGAGAACGCCAACAAAGATACCGAGAGCGAAACAGAGAAAAATTGAAAGAGCGTGAAGCGGAGAGAAGGCAACGTCAACAAAATTCAGAAATGATTGCAGAATCGTCTACCTCTTCGAACATAGATTGGATAGAAATAAATGGAGCTGGTTTGGAAGAAAAGCAGAATCTATTCGTTGAAATAACTGAACGGTAAAAAAATCTTTTTATACCATCCACAACAAATATTAAAATTGTTGATGTATTTTCGATGCGAAACGTCTAATGCGGCGGATCAAACCGGCTGTTGGCGTAGCGATGCGTCGCCATGAGCTCGTAACTCTCATACTCTCTTCCCTCTCGGCTGGGATATTCCCACCTCTCTCTCTCTCTAACCACGTAACCTCATATATCTATAGCATATGCAGTGTAATTTTAACGTTGAAAATTAATTCGATGTTTCACATTTGCCAGTGAGGCTTAGCGGGTAGTACCTAATGACTTTTCTAGCCGATGAGTCCCACATAACCACCTGTATGTATTATAGGTGGTATACGTAAACGCATTTACCAACGTTAAAAAAAGACGTCCCGCGACAGCTCTATTTCTTTTTACTTTAAACCTATCGAGTACAGTATCAAAATGAAGATTTTTAAGAGACGATCACAAAAATATATGCAATATATATGTTTAAAAGTTACAAAATATTTAAGGGCGCACCGAGGCAATTACGAAATAATTGCCGTCGTTTGATCCCTTGCTTTTTTTTATACCACGTCGGTGGCAATCAGGCATGCGGCCCGCCTGATAGTATAAAATAAACCCTTAGTGCGGCGTAAATAATTCAACTAAGTTCATGAGTTTTTTAATAATAACAAAACTATACGTTTTCTATAACGTATACACTTTACATTTTCAAAATGTGTATTTGTTTTAATAATACGAAGGAAATACCAAAATTCGCACGCGTTCCGTCCATCCTAGGCAGAGCTCCCACACTCACCCCCTGTCCGCTATAGAATATACTAGTATAGTCCTGCTTCAGCCGTTGAACGGGGAGCCTGTGTCGCTTGTGCTTACGCACGGTTTTAAATGCGTTACGATTTAAAACGATTTTGAATTAATTCACTATATTATAAATGGGAAATAAAGTAAATAAAACAAAGAAAAAAAGGGGTTGGCGAAAAAACAACGCGAAACGCTTGCATGAAAAATTTAAGTAAGTAAACTCGTATACCTACTTACTTTTTTTTAAAGGGATGCTTTTATTTCATAAATAAATATAAAACGAAAAATATTGCTGCGACGGTTCAGTGGTAAGCACATCCGTACGGAGCGCAAGGGTCGTGGGTTCGAATACCGCTTGCGGTTTTTTGTACCTAATCTATACATATAATAAAATTCTAACCAAACCGAATCTGTACATTAAATATTTGTTGGAGAATCTTATTGAAATAGTCATTATTATCGATACAGAGGCCGAATCTATAGTTTTTAGAATTTTTGTCTGTTTGTTTGTTTGTCTGCCTGTTACCGTATCACAGAAAAACCACAGGAGGGATTTTGATGAATTTTGGTATGGTGATAACTAGTTATCCGGGTCAACATATAGGATACTTTTTACTGCAGGAAAATATCTCATTTCTGAGAAAAAATGAAAAAAAAACTGCAATGTAAGAGTATACTAATATGTAAAACCTAAGAATTTGGTTTTAGGTCATCTGAACGCGGGCGGAGCCACGGGCAATGCTAGTAGTTACTAATTTTGAACAAAAAATTGTTGAACAAAACCCGAAAAACTCAGCTGCTAAAAACTAGTTGTAAATAAAAAAAAATTTAGTAATTAAAAAAACCCGACAGTGTTAAAGACGCATGAAAACTAAAAATATGAGAACAAGTCGATGAAGGAACATTCTATTATTGCAGTCGGAGACATATCGTACATACCTAATCTCAGCAATCTCGACAGCAGCAACTATAGCATCGTTGTCTTCTTCAACCTATCCTTTAAGGTAGTTTTTATTTTAGAACTAGATTACGTGTCGTTTGTGTATAAAACCTATACATATAATAAAATTCTAACTGAATCGAATCTGTACATTTTTTTGGAAAATCTTATTGAAATTGTCATTATTCCCGATACAGACGCCAAATCTATAGTTTATAGAATTTTTGTCTGTCTGTCTGGGAACGCATCACGTAAAAACGACTAGACTATTTAGTATGAGGGTAGCTGGTCATCCGAGTCAACATGTAGGATACTTTTTACTGTGGGAAAATATCTCATCTCTGAGAAATCAATACTAACCCTTAAAACGCAAATGGGGCCGAACACGAGCGGAGCGAGGGTGAATCGCTACTACTCTATAAAACATCATAAATCTGCAATCCCCCACTATAAGCATACACTATCGAAGACTTGTTCTATATAAAGATAAGTTATCATTAAAATATTATTTTAATATTTAATATTACCAAATTCTTCCAGAACAAGTTTCAGTCACTACAAATAACACTCGGTCAAGGTTTTTCTTATCAACTTAAAAGTAAATTGTGTTTGTTGAATGAAAAGCTGATAATATATTTATATATGTATGTATTACTTAGTGTCCTTTTGTATATTTGTTTGTTTCTCATAGTTAATAGGAACCAGTCTTTGGTAAATAAAACTATAACGTATTTTTTTTATTTGCTGCACTGCACTGCATTTATGTATAATATGTATTATGTATAAATGGATTTTGTCTGTAGGATAAAGTTAAAGCATGATATACCTAGGTATATTGAGAAAGTATTACTACCTTGCAAATGAAACTAATTGGGCCATTTAAATTTAATTAAGAATACAAAATATTAAAAAAATGTAAATGAATTTGCCGCACTTAAAATTACATTAAAACAAAGTAATCTCTGACTCATCATCAACTCTCTAGTACCATCCAAATCGATTTATTACTCAACACCTCATATTTATTTGCTTACACTGTGTTAATATTTAGATACCTAAATGACATATTACCGCTTATTCACGGCTCGCAGATAGACTGTGTCATATACACCATTGATATATAAAACTACAGATTTAAAGTTTGCTTTATGGCTTCATCCAGTCCCAAATTGTGTGCGGTGATGGCCTTTTTTTTTTTTTTTTTTTTTATAGTTGGGAAATCCTATTACGGATACCACCCGACTTCCCCCCAGGGTGGTTATGTGGAGACTCTCCGGCTAATGAGACCGGCATACCCACTAAAACCCAACTTTCCCCACAGCCGCCATGTGGGACGCCACGGGACCGCTTTCGCATACAACCGTGACGCCCCGACGGTTGGCCGAAGCCACCAACCATGAGGCCGCCCCAAGCGGGACGACCCCATTATGGGAAGACTTGCAACCCTGCGAAGTGAGGCTGCTCCCAAGTCCACTCTGCTGAACAGAGAAGTACCCGGAGCAGCCCCACACAACCAAACACCGCCCACCGAAGTGGGCAACCTGCAAAAACAAAACCTTCCCGCCCAAATTGGGCAAACCTCCACGGCGTCCGAAACCGAACCACCCCAAACGGCTGCAGGAGTAGAGGATGCGACAACGCCGACACTCCCCTTCCCCTACAGCCCCACCGCGTCCACCATCAACGGTGGTGGCCCCGCTAGGCCGCGGGAGATAGGGACGAGCGGCGCATCGCTATACCGACACTCCTCTTCCCCCGCGGCCCCCCTACCGTCGGCCCACCTCCGGACCAAGATGGCTGCCGACACCCACGCCAGACGCAGGACCACCGAACTGGCCCCGCTCCAGCCGCCGCACCGACGGGCTAGCCCCGGCAGCACGGCCCGCGCAGCGCCTCCTACCGCGAAACGGCCGGAGACACCGCGCTACCTCCAAGAAGGAGACGGCGCCCTCCTGATACCGCTCCCCCTGCCCCTTGATGGCCTACTTATTTCTATTATGACCGTCAGTACGGATATCATACAATGATGCTCCAAGAAAAGGCAGTCCATCGTATAAGCAACCCACAAAATAGTGAATGGATACCAGATAGTTGATACACTACACATATATAACTTTAAATACATACATATGACTGGAATAACAATCGTGCTCATCACACAAATGAATCTCCCCAATGGGATTAGAACCCGCGACCGCTGGCACAGCAAGTAGGGTCACTACAAACTGAACCAAACGTGTCGTCAAATATATAAATATAAGTCTTTATCTATTTTTATTTACATAATCACATAGTTATTGGACTTCCATAGAGTGACATAATCAACTTTACATCCCAGTTTATCAAGTTTCCATGGGATTTTAAATCATGTGCTCAAAATATGTACATTCGATAAATATTAAAAGTGGAATTGTTAGTATGAAAGAGCAACGGCCAGATATATCAACAATGTGCGTTCATATCGTATACGCCTTATTTATTGGTATTGTAAACAAGTATGTGTGTTATAATTAATAGCAATCGCGTCGTACGGCTAGTATTTGTCCTGCCATAAACTGTACGTAACTTTATCATCTAAGTAATTATGTGATCATTTATCTTATGCAACATGCGGTTGATGCTTCAAGCGTATACTATTCATAGCCACAGGTTCGAGTCCACTTGAGGCTACTCAAAAACAAATAGAATAATAATAAAAACTGTAACGATGTCATTGACAATTCAATCCCGTTAATTTTCTAGTGAAAAAATACAACGAAATTCATTGGGAAGTTAAACTTAAAAATTTAATTACATATTATGTTTGAAAAACAAAATATTTCCTGTGTCGAAGAATTATTTTCGGAAATTCAATATAATTTATTGTAATCTTCAAGAATCTTACCAACGCGTTCCGTTAATTCCTAGCCTCGAGATAAAATGTTCAAATCGAAATCTTCGGACCAATCTGTATTGTCAGCAGTCCGATTGATTAACCTTTGCAAAAGTTCCTAAAGGTTTTTTATCTATGTTTAAGAATGCTTTAACTGTTAACATCCCAATGCTGTATACGGACATTGTTCACGATTACGACCTTCACTAAAATCAAGTAGTTTAATAAAAGTATAAAGGCTGTTGAATGGTTATCATTGGGCCATTCGAAGTAACCAACTTAAACGTTCGGGAGTTCCCCAGGTGCTAACCCACGGTAGGCCAGCGTGTTGGTCTATAGCCTGGGTAAAACCTATATCCTTATCCGCCATAGTATGGAGGAAGGGCTCTTGGCT